TATATGTCTTTTGCCATTATTACACTGTATATACACATTACATATAACTATCTATATTTTCATGTACCATTACAAACCTCTAATCAGTTCTGATGGGTGTAATAATCTTGTAACACATTACAGTACCAGAGTTCAGCCTACCTCTACATGTTTTGTATGAAGATGTAACTGTATACATTGAATATATTATATTTTCTTTACAGTTGTAATAATTTTAATTTTTTTCAAGTGCAATAATGCATTGGGGTGTCAATGATACATTGCCTTAGGGACCGTTCAAGCTTGACACACAAATGTTACTCTGGCGGCCCCAGCATGATGAAGTGATCTGATGAAATACCTGTGCCCAAAATTGTCCCAAGGGCTGTGTACAGTCTGTTGACAGACTGGTAACATATATCCTCTTTCAGCTAAGCCCTGGTGATTTTTGTTCTTTTGAAATGATAAACGTATGAATTTCATTATGTATGATTTAAGTTCTTTTAATTTGAGTTACAACTAACGTAGATGTATGACCGAACCTAACCAACCCTACCTAACCTAACCTAACCTATGTTAACCTAACCTAAACTAACATAACTAAGTTAATAATTTATGTTCTTAACATAATATAATAATAATATTTCAAATAAACCAATTGTAAACAAATTATTGAAAATAAAAAAAATTACTCGGCCTATTAGGCAAATCGCGCCTTACATAGTAGGCCGAGAAGTGCATTCTGGCTACTAGGTACGACATATATATTATATATTATATATATTATATATATGTCGTACCTAATAGCCAGAACGCACTTCTCAGCCTACTATTCAAGGCCCAATTTGCCTAATAAGCCAAGTTTTCATGAATTAATGTTTTTTCTACCTAACCTAACCTTACCTATAAATATAGGTTAGGTTAGGTTAGGTAGGGTTGGTTAGGTTCGGTCATATATCTACGTTAATTTTAACTCCAATAAAAAAAAATTGACCTCATACATAGAGAAAAGGGTTGCTTTATCATTTCATAAGAAAAAAATTATAGTAAATATATTAATTCAGGAAAACTTGGCTTATTAGGCAAATCGGGCCTTGAATAGTAGGCTGAGAAGTGAGTTCTGGCTACTAGGTACGACTATATATATATATATATATATATATATATATATAGATATATATAATATATATATATATATATATATATATATATATATATATATATATATATATAAAATGTGTGCGTGTGTTGTACCTAACCATAATGCACTACTTGGCTTACTAAGCAAGGCCTGGTTTGTCTAATAAGCTGAGTTTTCCTAGTTATATATTTTTCTAAAAAAAATCTTATGCAACGATAAATCTTTCCATTATATAATATACGATTTTTTTTTTTAATTTACCGCACACAGCCATGGTAGCTATGAGAATGCAATCAGGGGGACCCCCCCCTGGGAATTCAGTAATGGGAAGAAGAAATGAAAAAACTCCAAAAGGAGAAGAAACCATTAATTCTTTAAAATAGGCAGCGAAGAGAGACAAAAAAGTAAAAACATGCCTTCTTTAAATCTAAAACCTTGAGACCCTTCACAGTTACAGAATGGGAAGGGCATGGGATGGAGCCTACATATCTCCTGGGGTTTGGGGACCAGAAGGAAGGTACATGAGTGCCAGGAAAAGTAACCTTTGGCCCTTGCTTTGATTCAGCACCCTTAGAAGTATTCCACAAAAAACTCAAAAAGGTTGCAAGAGTACGAGTACGCTTCATGGTTGTTGTCAAACCCCCAATGGAAACATAAGCATCTGCCACTAACACACATGCCACTGATGTTTACGAATCCTCGAGCTAGTGACCAAGTGAATTAGGCCTAAAGTTGTTTACCAATAGCTAATTATCATTTGCCTAGTTCATATCTTCTTATTTTCTTTCTTTCAAGCTGGGATTTTTCTTTGGTTTTGTCTGACTTTCTGGCTGGATTTGCTCAGTGTTGGGTTGATCTGTGATTCCTGGCTACCAGTACAAATACACGGGTCTTAATAGTCCTGGGGTGATCCTTTGGTTTAGCTGTAACAGTGCAGAAGCACCAGAGAGCTACTGAGGGTACCTTCCCTTCAAAAGTATTACAATTAAATAAGAACATGATGCAGTTGTCTTAATGGATATAACTAGTACAGAATTTTTTTTAACTTATTTCATTTAATGAAACCTGATTTTATAAATTGCCTAATTATTTTATGCTGTAATGAGATTACAAGAATAACGATTATATGCTGCAACAGATGGAAGACAAAAAAATATTTTTTAATTTTGGAAATAGATTTAACAATAAAAATAGAATATAAGTAAAGAACAAAAAGATCAAAGCAAAGTTGTTTCATAAGAAAAACTAAATGTGAGTATACAGTACTTACGTTGCATTAGGGTCATATTCAGCCCATATTCTGATGAACTCATCAAGGTGATGAGCACCAAGGATGGATGAGTCTCTAGTCAAGTAATCGAAATTGTCCATGATGACAGCAACAAAAAGGTTCAACATCTGCCAGGGGTCATCTTATTAGTAAAAATTATATTTGGATATACAATGACAATTCTCTGACATTTAATAACAAAAAGATTCTATAACAAGCATAGTGTATAGAATGCCACAGCTTTTATTGCTTTGAATTTTAAAATATTACATTTTATCTTAAAGGAGGACTTATAGAAGATTTGACATCTCTTTGTAAATTAGGTGAAATATCTATGTAGCAAACTGTAATTTTATCAGGAGTAATACACTATAGGCCTATTAAGCAACTGTCACTACAACTTAAATAAAATTGAACCTATCTTTTATTAATACAGTAATGTCAAACTCAATAAGTTGATAATACTAATTAATCTAATCATTTAAACTCATAGTTGATCAGGTGGATCATAATTTTTAATAATTCATTGTGTTTAGGGACAGGAAACCAGAGGGTTCTTGAGGTTATCTTGAGATGATTTCGGGGCTTTAGTGTCCCCGCGGCCCGGTCCTTGACCAGGCCTCCACCCCCAAGAAGCAGCCCGTGACAGCTGACTAACACCCAGGTACCTATTTTACTGCTAGGTAACAGGGGCATAGGATGAAAGAAACTCTGCCCATTGTTTCTCGCCGGCGCCCGGGATCGACCCCGGGACCACAGGATCACAAGTCCAGCGTGCTGTTCGCTCGGCCGACCGGTTCCTCCAGTAAAGAGTATCCACACACATTTCAAGATTCCCCCCCCCCTCCCTTCCCCAAGGCCAAATTACTGACCCCGCCCAGGATGCAACCTCACAACAAGCTGACTAACTCCTGAGAACCTACCTACTGCTAAGTGAACAGAGGCATTAGGTGAAAGGAAATGTGCCCAACCATTGGGGTGGTTCAAATAGCCTCGGCTATCACCTCATTATGTCCGGTCGTGATGGTCAAGTGGATTAAGGCGTCTTGTACATACCAGTTGCGTGGCTCCTGGGAGTATGGGTTCGAGTCACTTCTGGGGTGTGAGTTTTCAGTTGCATATTGTCCTGGGGACCATTCAGGCTTGTTCGCATTTGTGTTCCTCACGTGTGCCCCAAAGAATGAGGTGATTTGGTAAAATGCTATGCCCAAGATTACTATCCGAGTGCCGGCGGTGGGGTGGTTCAAATAGCCTCGGCTATCACCTCATTATGTCCGGTCGTGATGGTCAAGTGGATTAAGGCGTCTTGTACATACCAGTTGCGTGGCTCCTGGGAGTATGGGTTCGAGTCACTTCTGGGGTGTGAGTTTTCAGTTATATATATATATATATATATATATATATATATATATATATATATATATATATATATAAAATGTGTGCGTGTGTTGTACCTAACCATAATGCACTACTTGGCTTACTAAGCAAGGCCTGGTTTGTCTAATAAGCTGAGTTTTCCTAGTTATATATTTTTCTAAAAAAAATCTTATGCAACGATAAATCTTTCCATTATATAATATACGATTTTTTTTTTAATTTACCGCACACAGCCATGGTAGCTATGAGAATGCAATCAGGGGGACCCCCCCCTGGGAATTCAGTAATGGGAAGAAGAAATGAAAAAACTCCAAAAGGAGAAGAAACCATTAATTCTTTAAAATAGGCAGCGAAGAGAGACAAAAAAGTAAAAACATGCCTTCTTTAAATCTAAAACCTTGAGACCCTTCACAGTTACAGAATGGGAAGGGCATGGGATGGAGCCTACATATCTCCTGGGGTTTGGAGACCAGAAGGAAGGTACATGAGTGCCAGGAAAAGTAACCTTTGGCCCTTGCTTTGATTCAGCACCCTTAGAAGTATTCCACAAAAAACTCAAAAAGGTTGCAAGAGTACGAGTACGCTTCATGGTTGTTGTCAAACCCCCAATGGAAACATAAGCATCTGCCACTAACACACATGCCACTGATGTTTACGAATCCTCGAGCTAGTGACCAAGTGAATTAGGCCTAAAGTTGTTTACCAATAGCTAATTATCATTTGCCTAGTTCATATCTTCTTATTTTCTTTCTTTCAAGCTGGGATTTTTCTTTGGTTTTGTCTGAGTTTCTGGCTGGATTTGCTCAGTTTTGGGTTGATCTGTGATTCCTGGCTACCAGTACAAATACACGGGTCTTAATAGTCCTGGGGTGATCCTTTGGTTTAGCTGTAACAGTGCAGAAGCACCAGAGAGCTACTGAGGGTACCTTCCCTTCAAAAGTATTACAATTAAATAAGAACATGATGCAGTTGTCTTAATGGATATAACTAGTACAGAATTTTTTTTAACTTATTTCATTTAATGAAACCTGATTTTATAAATTGCCTAATTATTTTATGCTGTAATGAGATTACAAGAATAACGATTATATGCTGCAACAGATGGAAGACAAAAAAATATTTTTTAATTTTGGAAATAGATTTAACAATAAAAATAGAATATAAGTAAAGAACAAAAAGATCAAAGCAAAGTTGTTTCATAAGAAAAACTAAATGTGAGTATACAGTACTTACGTTGCATTAGGGTCATATTCAGCCCATATTCTGATGAACTCATCAAGGTGATGAGCACCAAGGATGGATGAGTCTCTAGTCAAGTAATCGAAATTGTCCATGATGACAGCAACAAAAAGGTTCAACATCTGCCAGGGGTCATCTTATTAGTAAAAATTATATTTGGATATACAATGACAATTCTCTGACATTTAATAACAAAAAGATTCTATAACAAGCATAGTGTATAGAATGCCACAGCTTTTATTGCTTTGAATTTTAAAATATTACATTTTATCTTAAAGGAGGACTTATAGAAGATTTGACATCTCTTTGTAAATTAGGTGAAATATCTATGTAGCAAACTGTAATTTTATCAGGAGTAATACACTATAGGCCTATTAAGCAACTGTCACTACAACTTAAATAAAATTGAACCTATCTTTTATTAATACAGTAATGTCAAACTCAATAAGTTGATAATACTAATTAATCTAATCATTTAAACTCATAGTTGATCAGGTGGATCATAATTTTTAATAATTCATTGTGTTTAGGGACAGGAAACCAGAGGGTTCTTGAGGTTATCTTGAGATGATTTCGGGGCTTTAGTGTCCCCGCGGCCCGGTCCTTGACCAGGCCTCCACCCACAAGAAGCAGCCCGTGACAGCTGACTAACACCCAGGTACCTATTTTACTGCTAGGTAACAGGGGCATAGGATGAAAGAAACTCTGCCCATTGTTTCTCGCCGGCGCCCGGGATCGACCCCGGGACCACAGGATCACAAGTCCAGCGTGCTGTTCGCTCGGCCGACCGGCTCCTCCAGTAAAGAGTATCCACACACATTTCAAGATTCCCCCCCCCCTCCCTTCCCCAAGGCCAAATTACTGACCCCGCCCAGGATGCAACCTCACAACAAGCTGACTAACTCCGGAGAACCTACCTACTGCTCTAAGTGAACAGAGGCATTAGGTGAAAGGAAATGTGCCCAACCATTTCTGTCCTGCCTGAGATTCGAACCCGGAATTCTCGATTGTGGGTCGAGAACGAACCTGATTGTACTACCAGGACCCATAATAGAAACACTTCCAAAAATTCAATAGTTACTTTTTAATCTGAAAGAAACTTTCTTTGGCATTATTAACACAAGCCAATCTATCTTGAGGTTATCTTGAGATGATTTCAGGGCTTAGTGTCCCCGCGGCCCGGTCCTCGACCAGGCCTCTTTTTTGTTACACACCCCCAGGAATCAGTCCGTAGCCGCTGTCTAACTCCCAGGTACCTATTTACTGTTAGGTAACAGGGGCATCAGGATGAAAGAAACTTCTTGCCCATTTGCCTGCACCGGGGAACGAACCCTAAACCTCAGGACTACGAATCCGAAGCGCTGTCCACTCAGCTGTCAGGCGCCCTTTTAGCACATATCTTGCACATTAATTGTAGCACATGTCTTGCATAATACCTATAGTGTTTCTTGCAGGTCTTAGTTAAGTTATTTGTTGTCTTTTCTGTCAGGAGAATGAGCCATACCTCTGGTTTTATGTCATTAGAAGTTTTGCTTTAATAGTTTTTCTCTTGGTGATCTTAGCTGCTTACTTCTGCTGCATTAACTAATGAAGGATATATAGTATTTAATTAACCCTTGCACTGCTCACCTATTTTCGGCAAAAACGTCTTGGTGCCATTGTCAAGGACATATTTTTGTTATTTTTACAAATGTTCAGGTAAATTTAATGTCAAAATGTTTCCAAAGTCAACTATTTCCATTTCAAAACACAAATAGTAATGAAAACATTAAAAAACATTAAAATATAGCCAAATTAAAAAACAAAAAGCACAACTCTCTGAGCGCCTAAAGGCGCTTTGCGCAGTGCAGTGGTTAATGCTTAGGAAGGAATTAGTGATGCATTGGCACTTGTCTTCAAGTTCAAAGAGCCTCATATTTAGCTACATACTTATGTATCCAACATTTCCTTAGAGATCAGTGCCAATACATAATTTTTTTCCCTAAAGCTTATATACTCAATATTTTAAATACCCTATGTCCTTAAATAGCGAATGTAGAAAGTGAGCAACTTAGAACATCCTGGTGTTTTTGTACATAAAATATCTATTGAACTAATTCAAAGCCATCAGCTTTACTCAATTCCTAATGTTTACTGAGTGGGGAGGTAACAACTGAGAAATGATAGGGAAGCACTAAATGAAAACAAATTATACCAATAAATTCACCACATTTCACATACAACACAGCATCACAGAAAATCAGAACCACCACAGCAAGTCATCCACAGAAATACCCAACTGCTTCACGAGACTAGGTGTAGAGTATTCATTCTGAGGTGTCAAATACAAGCATGTAAAACCTTTAGTCCCTTTTGACAAACTGTTACCACCTGGCCTAGTTCACTATCACTTCTTGCGTTCTGTTCTCACTCAGTCCCTGCTTCCTCACAGACTATGTCTGCACATCTTCTTCTAGGCATCATCTCTTCCTTCCTTTCAGATTCACTTGATTATCCTCATTTTACAAGTCCATCATCATCTATTCATTCAAGAAATACAAACTATTTTGCACACTCTTGCAACTTACAAGCTTTAGTAGTCCACATTTTTCTATCATTCCTTATTCTAACACATTACATGTTTTTAGATTATCTATTTGTGCTGCTCTATATATTTTCCATACTCTTGTCACACAAGAGTATCTTTCACACTTTTGATTTCTTTTGGCAAACAGTGATGGCAACTAAAAGGATTAGATAGCTAACAAAAATATATGCAAAATTACTAATCATATCTTTTTGGACAACATATTACATGAACAAATCACATATCAATAAAGTATATAGCTACTATATGACACTACTTAATGCCTCAATTTAAGTCTACTTACCAAGAAGGAACAGAGGAAAATGAAAGACACAAAGTAGACATATGCAACATTAGAACCACACGTCTTGCTCGGCTCGTTCTTCAGTGCGTCAGGATCACACGGTCTCCCTTTTATGCAGGCTAACATAATGCTCTGCCAGGATTCCCCTGTAGCACATCTGCATATACCACAAATTCATTATAAATTACAACAGCATATTTTGTATAAATTTATGGATCATAATTCACCTATAAAACAAGTTTCTCAATTATATTTGCTGAATTTAATAAAGAAATTAATCTAAAAATATTTCCATTATATTCATATATACTGTATATTATAAGACAGTGAAAAGGGTTTTTTCTATAAGCTCATGAAAATGTGTTACTTATAATTTATGACAAAGAGCCAATAAATTCAGTACAACCTCTCAAAATTTGCATCTTTGACATAAAATTTGTCTTTGAAATGTGAGCAAGTGCCATTGTTCAATGAGTCTGCTTATGATATGGAACACATTTTTTGTTTTGCTTGTTGCCTCATAATGAGTACACATTCAAGCAACATTACATTTTTTACACACCAATACCTTAGACATTGAATTAAAAGGCCATATGTGATTTCAAACCTGAAGTCCCATTTTTCTTTCACATTTTCAAGATAAGCATCAATCCTGTTGGCAATCTAAATTATGAAACAAGTCATGAACTCTGAGAATATGACTGAACTCAAAAGGTTTAAGCCAGGAAAATTACTACTAATTTGCTAGCATTTATGTAATTACACTTAGGTAATTATGTACAATTTAAATTTTGTTAATGAGTATTTACATAATACATGTAAACATCATTATTTATAACATTCAACAACTTAAATATCTTACATAAGAGAATGTCCACAATGTGTTCAGTGGACATAAACAACACCTAAAATCTTTGGGAAGATTTGTCTTGTCCCAATCTGCTTTGGGACTGAGAAAAGATTTGCACGCTAATAATGCAGTAACTAGTGACCTGCTAAAGAATAGCAGACACTGAAATATTTGTTCTCCCACCTGTTTCTACTTTAATGTTTCCTAAAGTGAGAAGAACAATGCTATGCTATGCTGTCTCTAGAGTCTTATTTAGAGGACAATTGTATCATATAATCAGCTCCATGTTCACTTGACATGGGGCCGGCACCAACAGCTTTGTTGCCATCCATTTGGAGACAGGTTGTAAAAAAAAAAAATATACACCCATCTTTCATATGGTTAAAAATGTAGTACAAAATTTAAAATATATTCACAAGCTTGCTACTGAAATGTTTCATGATGTGTTCATTTAAAATTAAATTTTAGGTCATAATGGGTCCCAACTAAGTGAGCCTGGCATTATCACACCATATTTATTTATATATTATATATATATATATATATATATATATATATATATATATATATATATATATATATATATCTTTATATATATAGTAACTTATCTAATATTTGTTACCCATCTAGATATTAGGTAACTTATCAGTGACAGCCTCAGTATGGATAATGTAAAATCAATTTAAAAACTGGACAACTATCTGTCATTTAAGTTTGCCATTTCCTACTGTTGAACACAGGAGGTCAGTCAAGCATACTGAGGTCTGCCTAGACCAATGACTGGTCTTCTCCAAGATCCAACCCACACCTTTTTGAATTTATAATCTGTTCACAAATATAAAATATTAGTAAATCTACCTAGAATATTGAATTTTTTTTGACATAATTGGAGTATGTATGGCTGCAATGTATCACTGATGGCTTACAACCAAAGTTGAGTGATTAAGACAAACAAAACTAGACAACGATGGCTTAAAGCTTCAAAGATGCCAAAACAGAAAATCCTGATTCGGCAATTTTAAGATTTTTAAGAAGATAAATTGTTGGGACAGTGAAACTGATGCTATTTAGCTTAAATTATAAGTCTGTCAAGTGCAATTAAATAAATTTGCTTATGTTATTTACAGCACTACTTTCGAGTTCAAGAACAAATACTGAATTGGTCACAAACTTTTTTTGAAAAAACTGTACATGTTGTTCACATTTGAATTTCACTCATCTTTCAGAACACAAGAAATATGCAAACAAAATGTTTATGAAAAACTGGCAAGATTATGGGTTTTGAAAATTGTTTCAGTGTGGCATGTGTTTAGATATGAAAAGAGAAAATGTAGAAAAAATAAATGATCTAATTTATCACTGGTACACCATATATTTCCTTAATAGAGCCCATTATAAATTACAGTGTAGTGACTGCACCCAAGACATAAGTGTGATAGACGGATGTTAAACAAACCATATAAGAAACATTATGCCAATTTAGCTGCTTCTTATGCCTCTCTCAATCATTCAGAATAATACATTGAAATATGCAATTATGCAACAAAATACAACATCATAATTAAATACCATAAGTTTAAATTTAATACAGAGATAAGTGAAACACTTTCCAGGCCACGCATCCAGTTGAGTTACCTTTCTGTAGGTCTTCCTAATGTAGCCAAGGAAATATATTACTAGTAGATGAAGAGACGACGACATTTCGGTCCATCCTGGACCATTATCAAGTTGATTATGATGAGACGAGGGAGGCACGGGCATAAGTAAGGCAAGAGAGGTGAGGAGGAGAAAATCTTAGAGGAAGGTAAGAGCAAGGCAAAAAGTAGGGAGGGGATAGGTGTGAAAAAAGGGGTGTAAAGGGGTAATAATAGGAGTAAGAAGGGGAATGTAAGAAAAAGAAGAGAGCGAGCAAAAGAGAAAAAAAGGAAGGGTACGATTATGTTAGGTCATATTTGTTAGAAGGTTTGAAACATTTGAGTATGTACTGTGAAAGGGAAGAGTCAACAGCAACAGAGCCAGGACTAAGGATCATGTTGGGTAGGTTGTGTATCAGAGTCGATTCGACGAGGCGGTGTCTGTGAAGCGTAGAGGCAGAAAAGATTGTTTTAGAAGACCAATCAATAGGATGATTAAAATCCCTAACATGACAGAAGAGAGCATTGTTTGTGTCTGCAGACTTAAAACTTCTAGTTTACATCCTCAAATGCTCCAAACCTTCTAACAAATATGACCTAACATAATCCTACCCTTCCTTTTTTTTCTTTCTTTTTCTCTTCTTTTTCTTACGTTCACCTTCTTACTCCTATTATTAACCCATTACACCTTTTTTTTTTTTTACACCTATCCCTTCCGTACATTTTGCCTTGCTCTTACATTCCTCTAAGATTTCCTCCTCCTCACTTCTCTTGCCTTACTTATGCCCGTGCTTCCATCGTCTCATCACACTCGACTTGATAATGGTCCAGGACAGATCGAAACATTGTCATCTCTTCATCTTCTAGTGTGTGGTTTGGTCAACATTCTTCAGCCACATTATTGTAATTCATGATCTGTATATTACAAGTAATCTTTATTCAACAATTTTAATGGAAAATACTTTGCTTTCTTTTTATTACTTCCACTATGTTCAATAACATAGTGTATATACAAATAAAGTATGTCTTTTGACATTATACTGTACGTATATTTTATAACTGGCTTGAAGTGCCAGAAACAAATTTGTGTGTTTCAAATTTGGCTTACTCTTTAATTGTTATATGCAAATAATGTTGTTCCAGTATTAATAAAGAAACAGCTGGAACTTACAAAAAACTAATTTGTAGCTTGGTTTCCTATTTCTTGGGAGAGGAAGCTGGTTAAGCATATTGAGGTCCCCTTAGACTGACCTCCCTAGATACAACCAACAGTTACCTCCCAACTCCAACAGTTACCTTACTCCTAGGTACAATACCTATTTATGTCTAGGTGAATAGTCATCAGTTGTAAGGAAGTGAGTCCAAATACCTTGTTCTACCCAGGAATTAAATTCTGGGTCATTCCATTGCGCATTGACTACATTGAATACTTCCTTACAGATTATTGCATCTCAATTGACTACAAAGAGACTGAGCAATGGCTTAACATTCCCTATTGGGAGTTTTAAATCTGGTTATGTCAAATCTTAAATACAGACTGGAAATAAGTTTAAAACTGGCTACACAAATGTCAAAATCGTGCAGCATTAAATACGTCTGAAGGTAGTCATAGTGTAAAAACTTATCACATGTTACCCATTAAGACAATATGCGATATATAAAAACCTACCTAAGAATTGAGTGATATAAAAATTGGACTTCTTAAACAAAATAATAAATTAGACAGTTTCCTACAAAGAGTGCTGGACCAACAGGGTTGTACTGGATATGCGAGTCTGTGGGCCACTCCAGGCAACAGTCTGTTGGACCAAGCTATCATAAGTCAAGCCTGGCCTCAGGTCAGAGTAGAAGAACTTGCAGAACCTACTCCAAGTATGATCCAGGTGCCTAACACAATATGTAATATAAAACCCACCTAAAAAAAAACACCTAATACAATGTGTGTATAAAATCTCACCTAAGACAACATGTGGTATAAAAAGTCTCCATCAATAAGTGCCATAAAAGTTCACTCAAGGTGAAGTTTATAAAAATCCACTTAAAGTACTGAGTGGTATAAAAACCCACCTAAGGTACAGAGTGGTACAAAAACCCACATAAGGTACTGAGTGGTACAAAAACCCACCTAAGGTACAGAGTGGTATAAAAACCCACCTAAGGTGCAGAGTGGTACAAAAACCCACCTAAGGTACAGAGTCGTACAAAAACCCACCTAAGGTACAGTAGTACAAAAACCCACCTAAGGTACAGAGTGGTACAAAAACCCACCTAAGGTACAGAGTGGTACAAAAACCCACCTAAGGTACTAAGTGTTACAAAAACCCACCTAAGGTACTAAATGTTCCAAAAACCCACCTAAGGTACAGAGTGGTACAAAAACCCACCTAAGGTACTGAGTTGAACAAAAAAATATCTAGGACAGTGGCACCAATAGTTAAAAGTAAGACAGTAAGTAGTAAAACAATGTTAAAAACCCAAGTATGACACTGTAATATTAAAATCCACCAAGGCACTGTATAGTGTAAAATTCATCTTTTCAGATCACCTGAGAATCAAGCTAGGTTTAAAGCAGCAACATGCATGAGTTTCATTCTTATTTCTACAAAGTCCAAAAATATTTTATGAGCTAATGCTCCTCAGATGCTCCCTAAGCCAGAGTTCATATGGTCTACC